ATAATAATATACAATTGATAGTATTTATTTAAATAATTTCGTCAAAATACAACTGTATCGTTATCTCTATAAACGATCATGCTCCTGAGAGACCTCCATTAAAAGAAATTCGCTTGAACTTTACAAAGTTACGGAAGTTGACAAACTTGGTCGAACCACACCTCGTCAAATGTGTAACTGCTGTGTAGAGGACTTTGTGGATTTGGTCGCTCGAATAAAGAACCACTTATATAAATGCAAAAAACTTCCAAAAATATAAAAGATAAAATAACATTAACCAAATTAAATGGTGATATAAATTTATAGTTATGTATTTAAATTAAGAAAGAACGTACAATATATATATATATATATATATAGTTCTATTTCTTGTAATTATATAATAAATGAAACTTTATAAAGTGAATATTTTTCTTTAAAAGCTATCTCTACAAATCTTGGTGATTCTAACTAAACAATCAGAATCGACATTTTTTAACCCTAATTAAATTTAGCCTCAGCGTCAATGTTTTAAAAAGTTTTTTTTTTTTAAAAAAAATGGTTAGAAAATCTAAAAAAAACTGTTTAACCCGTTTTTTTCATTCCTAATTGCATGAACCGAGTGATCAAATATATATGTAATATAAATAGGATAATGATCTCTAGCTTAGTATTCAGATTCGTTGAATATACAATATTCGAAACAATAGAATGACTCTTTGAAAATAATCTGTGCGATATTCCTTCGGGTGGAAGTACCTGAACGATACATCAGTCGCTATAACTAACTAAGCGAGTGAAAGATCTTAAGTTATTTATAGAATAACGTGATAGTTGCTCAACTATTCGACAGCTCAACTATTCGTCAAAATGACATTTAAATTCATACAAAATAACATTTAAATCTATAAAAAATGACAATTTGATTAAATCGTGATACCTCGTGATTTATTGACCCAATTTAAATGATTTTGGTATCATTCAAATTGTCTCATAGAGAGGATCGAATGGTACCAAAATAATCTAAATTGGATCAATAAATCACGAGATATCATGGTTTGATCAAACTTATTATAATTGTCATTTTGTACAGATTTGAATGTTATTTCGTACGAATTTAAATGTCCTTTGTCCTTTTGTACGAAATTGATGCCAAAAGCAGTCTTTACTCGCTTGGCTAATATATGCGATGACTGGAGTATCGTACCAGAGATAATATGCTCACACAGGTAAAGCAGTTTATTCACTAAGAATAATTGCGAGTCAAAGAACTTGTGGTATCTTCCCTTTAGGATCGATACCTTAAATATTTAATTATTAATACACATTTGCGTCACTGATCATTACATACTATCTCATCGCTCATGCATCAATATTTATTAAATCGTGATCACCCGATATGGATTACATTCGATCAACACGTATCCGATCACTAGTCACATGGGTATCGCATAACACTGCGACATTAACAGCTAAAAATAATCTGCATCGGTGCATCCGTTATCCGTCCAAATCCATAAAACTTTAAACTTTATTATACGTCTTTATCACATGATTCTAAAAAAAAACCAGATATTTTAATTGTACAATCAGCAATTATGTATAAGATATTGGGCGTACGATGAAAAATAACAAGGAATTTTTTTTAATGTCACTCCCATGTGCTGCGTAGCAGCACATGAGTGACATTAACTCCGATGAGAAAAATTTCTTGTTATTTTCGTATGTCCAATATTGATGTTATTGTTCATATTATATTAGCATGTGAAATTTTTTGTCGCGACATTTTGCATAAATGATGATGTCATTTTATGACAATAATATCGAGGCAAAAAATTTTTACATGATCATATCACAGGAACAATAACTATTATATACACCTTACTAAAATTTTTGAAAGACTATTTGCAAGTAACGGATGAGATGTACTTCAAATATCAGAATGAATTTGCGGAAGGCCTTTATTGTGGTAGTATTTACATTCGAAGAAAATTTCCAATTTTATCTAACCTCAACTTCTAACGAGCATTCGTTCAGTAGTTTTGGTAATTTACTAATTGAAAAAAAAATGATTTAAAAAATATTGTTATTGAAAAAATATTGACAAACATCAAAATATTCATCCTCTCGAATAAGAATTAGTATATAAAAACTTGTAAATTTATTTTACAATATTATTTATTTGCTTTGCAATAAATATAATAAATAAGGGAGGGTCGGGTATTCTGGCATACCTAAGCTCTATTGCCAATTAAAATTAATATTTATATCTATTTAAACTAACTAATTTTATGTTTGGCTTTTGCTAATGAAAAAAATACAAGTATTATTACTAAAAATTTGTTTATTACAACTTTTTTGAAAACGATTTTTAGACGTAATTTTATTAGGTGGGGGTATTTTGGCGCACTGCAAATATAGTAATATCTACATACTGCATAAACATTATAATTGGCCGAGTTCGACATTTACAAACAATAATTACTAAATGAAACAAATTCTTAAGGGGCGCTGGGCGTGCCGAATTCACTTTAGTTAATTTTTGTATTTTTTTTATTATCGTTGCTTGAATTTGTGACCAATAGTTTCTAAGAGTTCTAATTAAAGGGATTTTAATACCATTCGATTCGTCTTGATAAGGCGGATCAAATGGTGTTAAAATCGTTCGTTCTGGTTATTGTATTATGAGACACTTTAAAAAAACTTCAGTACGCAATATTACCCCCGCGCCAGAATATCCGACTCTCCCTTATGCATTATGAATTTTCTTTGCTTATAATAACGTAATAAACAGTATATTATAAACTTGCATAGTCTTTTTAAGGTTATAACATTATTCGTCGGATAAATTAGTTATCCGTTAAACGGATAACGGATACAATATCCTATCTGATCTCAGATAACAAATATCTTTTGGCAGTTAAATTCAGGTCAGACAGGATTCAGATATTCAGATCGCATCACTAACGCAAATAATAAGAAATATGGCAGATCATGTTTTACGTATCTATAAACATTTTTAGAAATGCTCTGCAAAAAATGATTAAATCAGCCTCGGCTCGAAATTAGTTAAATTAGAAAAAATAATGTTAGCGTCAGCGCTCTTTTTTTTTTTTTGAAATCTATATTAGGTTAGGTTATAATATACCATACGCATACGAGGTAACGTTGCGATATTCTTTATAATAAATTTTATCCTCGCTTTGATTGAATTTATTGATTTAAGAAAACACAATTATGCAAGTAGTGCAACGCTGTGGCTTTAAGTGCCAATAAATTTAACTTAAACACTTTTAAGTACATAAAATACTTGCTCAACGTGTGTACATAAAGCATGATTTTTCTATCTGTCTACTAATTTCACAAATAATGAGATCGTGCAATAAACCTGAATAACTTACTCTAAATATATCAATTAATAATCTTGACGGTAGCAATTAAACAATTAAATGTAAATAAAATTTATAATAATAATTATCCATGAGTTCTTATAAAAAAAGTTAATCCAATTTTCTAATCAAGGTTTTGTCCATAAATGTTAGGTCCCTTAAAGCGGTGCAGGCTACGTAAGGATTTGATGAACCCGGCAAAATAAAACAAGAGAACAAAAGAGAAAAATGTAAAAATAGAAGAAACGGTAGTCTAAACCAATCTTGTAGTATTAACAAAAAATGTTGGGAGGTAATTTGATTTATATAAACAACAATATAAGCCTTAACTTAAAGTAGACTATAACCCTAATGTTAATGAAAAACAGCATGTTACGTGATACACCGCTTTAAGGATCCTAATTATGGAAATTATTCGGCGTATCCAATCACAGAGTCATAATTTAAAACCATTCAAATAACAGTAATCTGCATTTTAACGGGTTGAATAGAACGGACAAAATCATACATATTGAAATATATATCTGATGTGAATTAAAAAAAAATTATGAATAAAATATGATCATACGTATTACATAAAATACGGATTTTTGATCAGAAAATAAGTGTTATTACAATAATTAGATAATTTATATATTATTTAATAGTGGACCTTGTAATAACTGTTTTTTTTTGACTTTAATAAGATTTGCATGTCTAACCATGAATGAAATTAGTTTGAGTTGGCATTTTGACTTGAATAAGAGTTAACTCAAGTTAGTATTTAACTCGAGTCAGTATTCAAGTTATAAATTCTAACGGATCTCTTGTAATATAAAGTGATACCTATTCTAAATCAATTAATTAATTATACTTTTTATTAATAGTCTCACCTATACTGCAAAAAATCCATTCTAACTCGAATTACTAAGTCCAAACTCTAACTATAGTTGATCACTTATTTGAAAATTTGAATGTTTCGTTTTATTGGTATGATATTGTGTGTAAATCTAATTCATAGGGTTCTAATATTTATTACGTAATATTTTAAGTGCATGTATTACACTAGGAAATGCATTGTGTGTCCGGAGCTAGATCGATCATCATTAATCTCGGAAGTGAACAGACAGAATTGCTCACGTAACAGTTTTATCACTTACTGTCGTAAAACATAGTTTCCTCCGCTTCGCTCCGGACAAAATCAGTATCTTACATTACACAAAGATAATTAGAATATTACCTAAGGGTGCTGACATTTATTACATAATATTTTAGGGGGTATATACGTATTATATAAATATATTACGTTACACAAAGATAATTGGTGTAATTAGATACTTTTTAAATTGCGCCAATCATATTGGATCTTATGTGGGGGGAGGGGAGGAACCCTCATAGTAAACGGATATTATGTAATAAATGTCACGGCCCTAATGAAATTGTAGCGTAGACCAAAAGTAACAAATTTGTAGGACAGTTTTTTTAAAATTTATTTGTCTCTGAGTTATTATCATTTTTATTTTATATATAAAAAGTGGACATTTTAGGTGTTCAGGACTGTAGAAAGTTTTTCTTTCTTGAATAATATTTTAAAAAAGAAAATTTCCATAATTGTTGAATATACAAAGTTGTGCAAAAAAAACAAAAAAACAAATGTCGACTGAAGAAAAACGTGAAAATGATTCATACATGCCAGAAGATACAAAATATAAGATATTAGAAAGAAGAATTGTTAGAAAATGTGATCTTTACATGCTGCGTATGTTTCAAATATATTTCAATCGTTATATAAATAATTTCCTAATTTGATATTTTTTTAATATATACACCGGACTTGTTTTTCTTACAAATTTTTGAATTTAATTTCTAAATTAGCAATAATGATCTTAATAAACTTGCTGGGTATAATCGATCTTAATAACATAGGAAACGCTACTGTAGCAGGATACAATTACATTTACTTTAAGACCACCCCTTATGCTTTTACTTTAGCCGTATCAGCTCAGTTTATGGGTTATATCATATTCGATGTCCCTTCAACCTTGGTAACGAATATTTTAGGGTTCCATGTTTGGATTCCAATCTTAATGGTGTGTTGGGCAGTAACATCTATGAGCCAAGCTGCATGTACAAATGTTATTCAGTTAGGCATTGTTAGATTTCTTCTAGGTTAACATCTTATTATTAATTCATAAGATTAGGTGTAACATGATAAACTAAAATAATTGCAATTTAGAAATTTAGAGTAGAAATTAGAATAAGGTTAAATCTTGATTGTTTCGATTTCACGTTACACCTTGCTCTTTGATTTGTCAATCAATGTTTAATGTCGATTTTATGTTTGTTACATTAGTACAAAAATTAGTTTAAATTAGGTACCTGATTTTGTTTCTAATTTTCCTTATTTTGACTGTGTCCCCATTCATAAGATCACTCGTGACATGAAGGGTTAAAGAACAGGATTAGTGCTGTGTGAAAATTAGTCTGAAAATTTTATGAATTGTTTTTGTTAGAGCAGTAGACAAAATTCCGAGTTACGATTGATTTTTTAAGTAATCGTTTCAATTTCGTGTTACACCTGTTCTTAGCATACGCTATTTCGATAGATTACGAAATTCATATTAATTCAATACATTTTTGATTAATTTAATTATATAGGATCGTTTGAAGCAGCGTTTCCTCCATGTGTAACAGGATATATTGGTTTATTTTATGCCAGAAAAGAATTAACTTTAAGGTATTCCATCCAAATGGTTATAACCATCATTGCTGGTGCACTTAGTGGGTTCGCAGTAAGTTTTTTTTAAGTTCTAACACAATTAATACGCATTAGATAATTTTACTAATACTTTATAACATTCATTAATTTGTTTAGTCGTATTTCATACTCCAAATATCTGGAACTTCATTAAGTGGTTTCCAATGGTTATTTATAATTGGAGGCATCCCAACATTGATTCTAGCCTTAATTACTGCCATATTTATAACTCGTGGTCCAGAAGATGCCCGTTTCTTTACACCTGAGGAACGTGAATTCGCAGTTGAACGTCTAAAATCAGAGGGTGGCCCAACTAAAATAATTGATCGTAACCTTGCCAAAGCCCAATTCAAACTTGCGTTTTCTGATATCCAAACTTACTTTTACTTAATAATAGTTTTAATTAGCGCAATTCCAAATTTTGCTCTTAATTTCAATCTTCCAACTTTAGTTAACCAACTTGGCTATGATAATTTACAGGCTCAATTAATGGTCATACCACCGATTCTTGTTGCAACAGTATTTACAATCTTTAATGCTTGGTGTTCTGATAAGTATCAGACAAGAACCTGGAACATATTAGCTGCGTATTCTGTCTCCTTCATTGGATTAGTGGGACTGATAGCAACGCACGCCAATGATCCTAGTTTATACAAATTAAGATATTTTTTTACCATTCTTTTGTCATGTGGGGGGTACAGTGTGTTGCCAATAATATTCAGTTGGTGCACATGTAACGTTGGTTAGTATCATTTTTTCTCAAAAATGTAGTATATGTTAATATGCTAACACCTGCTAATAACATCTAATTTTATTAATCTTAAAATTTTAAAAAGCCGGTCAATATAAACGCAGCACGACCCTCGCAGTAATATTCGTTTCTGCTCAGGTTGGAGGTATTATCGGGATTCTAGTTTTCCCAGCTTCTGATGCTCCATCATTCCTCATGGGAAACATCGTATGTTTATCTTTTGTGATCTTAGGGGCTATTTTAGTTATTATATTAAAGTTTTATCTGGAATTTTTAAATAAGAAACGTGATTTGAATATATTAGCTAATCATAAGTTAAATGATAGCGATCTAAAGGATAATAAAGGGATTAGAGAGATTGCTATGAAGTTGGTGGAAAATGAACCAAAGTTTGATGAAGTGTTATGTGATAAACATCCTAATTGGAGGTATATTATTTGAGGCATTAGTTGCAAAACACGTGCTATATATATATCTATAATATTTATTATAAAAACGTGTATATAGGATTTTGCACCTATTATATTTTTTTTATCAACTTTTCTCAATTTCATAAATTTATTTTTCATGTTAGGGTTAATATTTAGGAATAGGGTTTAGGAAAGTTTTTAGGACATAGCACATTTTGCCTAGAGCACCGCACACTAATTAATTAGCTGGTTTTGAAATATTGTAACATAGTTGGTAAAACACCATAAGTGTATTTTAGTAAAAACTTATATATGATATGCAAAATATATCAGATAATTTATTTTAAATTTTCAAGTATTACTAAAGTTATCCATTAGTACGATTAGTATATATGTTGTACCCAGTGTAGGAAATCTTATGTTCTCATGTTCTCATGAGAACATACCTTTAGATTTGAGATCATTTAATATCTTGTAAATGTTCTCTATGAAAAAAAATTTGAGAACATAATACTTGAAAAATATTTTCTCTATATAAGTATTATATAAATATAAATTTGATATTTTCTGAAATAAGAAATTTAATAAATAGGGATATAAATAAATTTTTATTGTTGGGAATATAAATAAATTTCTGAAAAACATTAAATTAAATAAATTTGTTGTCATGAGAACATGAATCCCAAAACATTTTCAACACTGCTTATTAATGATCTCAATAGCTATCTAATCACATTGAGCACTCTTAGTCTATGTTTAATGATTATTCATTGGTCTAATTGGTTTAAGTATTTAATATGAGCTATTCAAGCCTTATTTGGCTTCTTATCCACTTGAATCAATTATTATCGTTGTAACCAGAGGACAAGTTTCTAATACAGTAAAACCTCCCTAAGTGCACCCTCCCTAAGTGCACCCTCCCTAAGTGCATACCCTCTTTAAGTACACACTATAGCCCAGTCCCAAGCTCGGGACTTAGTGCTAAGTGCACACCTCTATGTTCTGCACATGCATAAGATCTGTAACCCCGGACTTATATGTGCACCCTCTGTAAGTGCACGCACGTAATTAAAGCCAATATTAGCCAATAAAATTTGAATCGTATTTGTTAAACATAAAATAAGAACATCTTTTCAAACCTATACTTTATTCAAAGTGCTTCACCTTGTGTGTGAATACAAGAAATTTCTATTGTATAAACTAGGTAATCTAACAAATGCTGTGAAGAAATTTATTCAAATTAAAATGCATCTAATCACTAATTTTAACACACTAGACATATGCAAAAAAAGATCAGTTTATAAAGGCTTTATTTTTATCAAAGAGCTGGTCTTTAAAATATTTATTCATTTTTATTTTTTTTAAATTATGCAAAGCAACCTAACAATTTATCTTTCAGGTTCTATTTTTTAGTTTTTTCAGTTTTTTCAAAATCAAAGGTCATTTGGATTATGTATCAAAAAGATAATGCCAAAAAAAAAATTACAATAGCAAAAAAAAAAAGTTTGCTATTTACAGTAATAAAACATTAAATAATTATTTTTTATTATTTTATAAAATAGTTATTAATTTTGCTTTGCTGTTGCCAGGACAATTTTTTTTTTAAAAAATTTTTCAATTTTTCTTATAGCCTTAATATACTTATTTACTTTATCTTGTTGAAGCAAAAACATACACACAGTCTTCAAGTTTGAAATCATTATATTGATCCTGATTAAAAAAATTTTGATACTATCTTCTTCTTCCAAATCATTACAAGTTAGATTGACTAGCTTGAAAGTTTTTATGAGTTTTCCAATAACTTGGTCATCTACAGAAATTTTATAAACAATGTCTTCTGCAGGAATAGAAAGAAATTCTTCAACTGGCATTGGGTTATCAAGATAAATATGGAGGTTTTCAATTGCCTTAGTAAGATTATTGTATGCCAGATGCATGGTTTGATGAGTGTTATCTGTAAGGCGATATAATTCAGCATTAGTATCAATAGAAAAAATATTTATATAACACCAGAAATTACAAATTGTTTTAGTGGTGATTTCATTTTAGCCTTGAATAATGTAATATATAACTTGCAATATATTCATTTTTAGTTTATCAGCATGTTTATCCTTTACCACATGCTTTAATATCTAGTATAAAAATATATATATATAACTTAATTATAAAAAAAGTTATAGTAAATCTAGCACCAACTTCCTTAAATGGCTTAACAACAAAGATCTACTTGGAGTATCTACTCAAATTAGAGTACAACAGCTCCAAAACAATTTTTGGTCTTTTACTAGTATTCTGTTATACCCCAACTCCATTATTAATAGACCTAATAAACACTCTACAAACTTTAAAATTATTTAACTCTTCAAATTTATCAACTATTCTAATAACTCTAGCTTATATTTTCTAATACCCTTTACTCTTCAAGAAGGTTCAATATCTCTTGAATCAATTCTTACCTCTTATTTCCAAATATCCCATCTTTAAAAAGCAACTTTATCACTACAATATACTCTTTTTTGACCAATATACAACATCTAACAACTTTTGCCTTCTTGAATAGATATATATTTTACCTAGGCTTAACAAAATTCTAAAAAAAAAAGTTTCTCTCTGGTTTATCTTTCTCAAAAGCCAAACTATCAATAGTTCTGCATGTATCCTTTTATCTAACTTTTATTTATCTTTCTTTAATTATTATAGTTACAATACTATCGTAAAATCTCGAAATAGTGGGCATAGGCATTAATTTGAAAATTGCGCCTCTAAAAATTTCATAACTAGTTTCGAAATAATGGCTATGCATGTTTCAAAATAACATGCACCTTATTATACATTTATATTATGTCATATTATGTAAATAGTAATTTATTGAATTGACTATAGTGCATGCTCAAAAATATATGCATACAGTTAGATCTCTCTAAATGCACCCTCTCTAAGTACACACTCTCTCAAAATGCATGCTTAAGTGCTGGCCCAAATATATACTTGACCTCTATAAATGCACTTTTTCTTATTATTTTCTAAATGCACGTTATGAAAGTTTGGTTCCAAGAGCATGCACTTAGAGAGATCTGACTGTACAGTCAGATCTCTAAATGCATCTACCCGTAGTGAACAAAACTCTAACAACATGTACTTAGAGAATAATTAGAGATAGTGCATTTATGGAGGTCACATATATATTCAGGTTTTAATAAGTATGCATTCATAGAAGACACTTCACTGTGCAATATACCTTTATTTTTTATATATAGAATTTAAGGTAACTAGGTAATTTAAACATTTTATATTAAGTTGCCTGAAGCAAAAGTATTAAGCAAAAGTTTTGTATTTATTAGAAGACAAAATATTTGTCTAGATTATAGGGGATATAAACTCAACGTTTTTTTTTTACATTTTAATAGAAATTTTACTTGGAAAGACAGAAATAAACTTTGGGGCAAAAGTTTGAAAATATCAGATAAGTGGCAACCAATTTTTTAGAATTGAATATAGGCTTTTGGCAAATTAGCATGACTTTGTTTATATGTTTTTTTTTTTTTTTTTGTTTTACTAAAAATTTATTTTCAATTTCAGAAATTCCTATCAATTTAACAAGTAGAGAAGTAGATAATTGGTTTGAAGTAACTATACACTTACTGCCTAGTGATAATATTCTAGTTATAATATAATGTGTGGATTATTTTTAACAAACAGTGAAGTAATATTTAATATTTAATGGATTATAAATTCATAGAATGCTGCCATGCTTACTATCATGCTCATTATCTGTCATATATTCATCTTCTATATCTTTATTCTTACCCACATTCATCATATCATCATCTGTGTTATCATACACATCTATATCTATCATATCTTTGTCCCTTTCTTCACTTGATAACTCAACAATCTCATTTATCCAGTCTCTAACAATTGCTTGTAAATGGTGTGACATTTTATTGACTTTGCTAGCATCAGGATTTAGGATGAGTCCAGTCAATTCAAAGGATTTTATCAAAACTTCTTTACTGATTTTCTTCAAGTAAGTTAATTTGTAAATTAGAATTTTATATAATCAATTTTTGTAATGAAATTATATTTTTCATGTTTGAGAAACCCATTCACAAACAAGCTCGTATGGTGCTTTTTTGCAATTGTCTTTTTTGGTAAAGTTCTTTTTTCCTTTTTCTATCCATTCTTCCCATCTTTTTTACATATCGCTTTTGAAAGGCTTATTTACTGAGATATCAGGTAGCTACAAAATACTAGTCGTCCTGCCAGGTATCTCTAAAACATCCAAACTCTCAAGATTCAATGCTTTAGCTACATCATCATGGGTATGACTACAATGATGGTCAACAAAAATTACACCTTTATTTTTAAAAAACTATTTAGGCTTACTCTAATAACCTGTGGAATATAGGTAGAAACTATTAAATCTCCTTTCATATTTGCATGGGATGCTATTGCTACTACAACGTCTCACTGAAACCTTTCTTTTGGTTTTTTTTAAGCTTAAAATTACAGTTGGCAGAAGCTTGTCACTAGAAGCTGTATAATCTAGAACTACAGTAAATCGTACTTTATTACTTCCAGTAATTTTAATTGGCACTTTGCAAATATCTTCAAACTCAAGTATCAAATTTCTTAGTATGTCAAACCACATGGATGTTTTGACAAAGGAAATAATGTTTTTTTTCTATATTTTAAGTCTTATCACATGCAATTTTAAGAAAATTCTTAACAATTAAGGGTGTTTTCTCTAGAAACTTTTACGCAATTTGTGTGCAGGCCCATTCTACCAGGTTGTGTTAATTTTTAAAACATATGACCCAGCCACATGAAAACTGGGCATCTTTAAGACCAAGGGTTTTTCCTAACTCTTTAGCTTTGTTTCTAATCATAAATGTTATAACGGTGTGCTTTTCTACCCTTTATTTTTAATGTAATCTAATAGATTATTTTCTAGCACAGGGTACTTGGCTTTTCAGCTGCAACTTTTGAGGGCTCGTACTTGATCTTTGTTTTTGATAGGTTCAAGCTTTTCTTTTTGTTTTCTCCTTTCCTGGACTTGTTTTCTATCAATATTATAAAATATTGCCATGTGGCGATTAGAGGTGTCTTTTGCATATTTAATCACCTCAAGTTTAAATACAATGGTATAGCTTCGATTTTGCATTCTAAATCCATGTTTATTTTAAGTAATACAAGAGATTCAATTGCGTAACTAAAAAGTACATTACGTTTATATACCTTGGGGGTTGGTATTACAGAAAAAAAATAAACAGAGAAAAAATTATAGAGCACTAATACCCTGGATCAATGCAAGTAAGTCTAGCATTTTTTTTTCCTCAAAAAAAAAAAAAAGTATATAGAGGATTCTATTTATAGTTTAAAAAATAGTTAATTTTAAATGTACAATTTGCACAGATAAAACTTTATTGAATAAATATAAAATGTAAATAGAGCCAGTATAAATTGATGTTATAAAAAACAGGTATTTTAGTAATATATTAAGTTGTGCAAATAGAAGTTCTAGTTTATTTTTTATTTTTTTTATTTTACTTTTTTTTTTATTATTTTTTTTTATAAGCAATTTCTGGGTCTAGGTCTGGGAATTCTATTTTATTAGTGGGTTTGATACCAAAATACTTTAGCATTTAGTGTTTCTAGAATGGATACAATTGAAGATTTTCTTGAGTAAAAGTTGTTTAAAAGGCGTAAATAGAAAGACAGAAGAATACAAGTACAGTTGATACTGTCTAATTGCATACTGTATAATTGCATATACTCTCTAAATGCATAAAAAATTTTGACTTTTAATTATTAACGCAAAGATGGTTCTTATGACTTAAATGCATATATTGTCTATATGCATAAAAAAGTCTCTGACGGATAGTATGCAATTAGATAGTATCGACTGTATTTATATATGGTATATCATACAAATAAATTACTGCTCTGAACGGATGTTTTGGGTAAAGCCTATCTATTTATTAGAATTTTTTTTATTTATTTAATATTAAAAAAAATATATGTGCAGATTATAGCATTAAAAAAAAGAGAACTTGTTCTATGCATTCGGATTGGATACTAATGGTTATATTTAGCTATAACTTATTATACTAGATTATTGTTGGGCATAATACATATGTATATACATATGTACACACACATGCATTAGTAATTCAAATGTTGTAAAAATATTATTCTATAAAATACCACCCATGGGCATTATTTTGAAAAACTCTATATTCAAAAAATTAATTTATTTATTCAATATAATGCCCATGGATGTACTCAAAATAGTGCAAAATAGCATGCTCCTGCCTGCTATTTTGAGATTTTATGGTAGTCACTTTTATAAACATTTCAAGCCATGGTTTATTACTCTCTTAGACAACCAAATTATTATTAGCAAAGCTCATTACCAATCAAATAACTCTGGTTATATACTAATAAACTACTAGCAAAGCAGTATTACAAACTATTTACTTCTTCTATACCCTTTTCTTCCTATAACTACAACTTCATGTTCATATTGCTCTTTAAACTCTAACATTATTGCCAATAAATGCACTATTTTTATTCTAATTATTCAGGCTATAAAATTTTTCAGTAGACTAAACTCTAATAAAACACTCAATTTTAATGCCAAGTATCTGGATCTTTTATATTCAATTATACTCTCAAACTCTAGTTCTTTTCTTCTTTTACCAAGTCTTAATATTTCAACTTTACAAATGCCTTCAATTTTTTAATCTAGTTCTTCCCTTGATACATTACAATATATTGCTACTCAAAACAGTAATCTAAATAACTTCACTTTTTATACTAATAGCTTTATTACAAACATGGATAATCCTCAATGCTCTATGGGTATTGGCTGGCTACAAATAAATAATTAAACAATACAACATACTTTCTAAGCCCAAATCAAACTCTGGCACTG